CAAAATTTGTATTAAATGTTGGTTGAAGAATGAAAATGAGTGTAAAAATTAATATTGTAATTATTCTGTAATGCTGAAAATGTTTCAAAAAATAAAATTATAAAAAAAAAAAAGATGAGAAGATATTTGGAACTGTAGAGTACCCATGACAAAGTTCCATAACTTTTTATGACATTTTTGAAACATCAACAAACCCAGAAATTTTCAAAAACGTTATCAACCTCCAAAAAATAAAAAATGAAATTACTGGTACACATGCACTAAAATCAATTCAACTTTTCAGATTTTCAGTGAATATCAACAAACATAGAAATATTTAAAAAAAAACAACAGAAACATCATCAAACTTAGTTAACTCGTTCGTTCACATTCTATGTTTTTTTTTAATAATTCATAAATAAATGCATCAATTCAAACCCAAAATTTAGTTCATAGTCTGAAGGAGTGATTTTTAAAATGTTCCGAATTCGTCCTATAGGTACCGTTATGACTACTCCAGTATGTACTCGCTTTTCCATTAAACACAAAATTTGAAAGACAAATTTTCGAACTATTAAAGGTAAACACACCCTTTGACTTTAAGGAGACCAGCATTTGATGAGCTGATGAGGTCAAGACTGCAGAAAATTCTACTTGTCTTGGAAATCTTACATTCACTACGTACTTGCAATTCGCCCTGAGGTAAAACAGTTTACCGGTATCCATCACATTTGCAACAAGACAAGTGAAACATCCATTTACATGAACACTGTAGAAAAATATATCCATTGTATTATTTCTATTTTAACGAGAAATACCTATCCTGTAAGTATAGATATATCATTTGATTTCATGAACCGCTGCATCTTCCGTTCGTCTTCCGCAGACACAAAGCTGTGACACAGTCTTTTATCTCGTATATCTCCCCAGCCTCCATTTGGTTTCGGGTCCCGGATTTTGATCTTGGATGTGCCCGCAACCTTCATGACGTTGGGGTTGAGATGTTGTTGATTATCTTGAAGAATTTTTTCAATCTGTTTTTGTTTAACAAGTGGTTCACACTTTTTCCCTTTATGATGCACACCGCTGGAAATAAAGAAAGGAAACAAAAGTCAATAACAGAAGAATTAATAACGAATTGATATAATTAAACATGTATAGATTGTATGTATCCAGCAATTAGTCCATGCCTGGTAATAAGCCCACTTATATTGAAGATCAGTAGAAATGCTGACATATTTAATGCCATTCCATTGTCCTGTAGTAAGCAAGCCTACCAACGACTTTAAGTCAAATATGATGTGTAGGCTTATTATAGGATTACTATTGTAACCCAAACACGACAGAAACAAAGATCTTAACATGTGGGTAAGGGGAATAGAATCTATTGGCTCTAGTCAGTGTGCTAGAGATGGAAATCTCAATCAATGGACGAGTGGAACAGAATTTCTCACTCCAGTGTGACGAGGAAAGAAATCTCAACCCAAGGAGTGTGAGCAATAGATTCTACCGCCCTTGTATGGTGATGACAAGAGGAACAGAATCTATCACTCCACTTTGATTAAGGATCCCTGTCCCACTACATTGTGTTTTTTGCTAAATTGGATATAACTGTAGCACATGCAGTTGGTTAGGACACAGGATTTTTGTTGTCTCATTTATACGGCAGTTATAGGTAGATGGCCTTTATAGACCGATGGATTTACAGACAGGTGACCTTTATACACAGTTTTTTTTTAAGTCAAGTTACACTATACATGTCTGTTGGGGTGTTAATGAGTTTGACCATCCCATACATTGGTTGTACAGGCAAGCACCATGACAGACATTATCTGTATATCATCAAATGTCATATGACAATTGTTTTCACTGATGGGAACACTTGTGGGCTATTTCAATGTCACCACAAACAACTCATTGCCAAATGGCCTGAAAAGCAATAGGATTTTTTCTTTTTCATAGAATGGACCAACTCATTGCCAAATGGACAGAAAAGCAATTGGATTTTTTCTTTTTCATAGAATGGACCAGCCCATTGCAAGATGGCCTTAAAAGTGATTGGATTTTCCCCCCCATAGAATGGACCAATCTATTGCAAGATGGCCAGAAAAGCGATTGAAATTTTTGTTTTTCACAGAATGGACCAATCTATTGCAAGATGGCCAGAAAAGCGATTGAAATTTTTATTTTTCGCAGAATGGACCAATCTATTGCAAGATAGCCAGAAAAGCGATTGGAATGTTTTCCCCCATAGAATGGACCAAATAACACATTATATTACATGTTGTTTTTGTCTTCACATTGACATATGATTACAGAATCACCATTTACTGATTTTAACTTAAATTGTTATCAAGGGCTCGCAAGAAATGTCTAGGGAAATACAGCTTACATGAAAGAATAGATAAAGCAAGAAAGAAAAGGCAGAGGTCCCCAGTGTTACAGTGCGAGCAGTAAATCATTATTGATCTGACCTCAGTGTCCCCAGGAAGAATGAAGAGAAGAAAAGCCTGACTGTTCTATAGCAGGCCCCACCTTAGTTAATGCCTCATACAATATACCATGTATTGCAAGTGGAGGGCTATAATTGGAAGCAATCAGCTTTTACTGGAGGTAATAAACATTCACAGCATACTCCAGCCTCTGTCTATTAAGGAATTTATATAGCGGAACTTGCCCCATCAATCACATGGAGAGACTTCTCACATTCAACAACTCAAACACCATGTCATTTAAACCAAATATAGCACATTTAAGAAATTTTAATTATCTCACCTTAATTTTTTAAAACTTACAAAAAAATAAATTGTTAGAAAATATCCAAAAGTGCTGTCGATTAGGTATCTTTATAAGATACAACCACTGTCAAATCTACTTGCCTTGTGGATTACAAACAGGTCAAGTGGTCAGACACATGTGGTAACCACCCTAAAAGTGTTAGAATTAGTATATCATGAAAGCATGGACTTGAGGGACATAGCAAGTTTCTGGTTCCCCAAGACCTGGTCTATTTCCCCAGGTGCATCCAATGGAAAACAGGCCTGGTAATGGGGAGCCAGAAGTTTAGTCTACATCTATGGAAACTGTCAAAGGAGATATTCTGCAGGGATGTTTTAGTTTTCATACTAAAACATGGTTGATATAGAACACTTTCTCCCTGGAGTCAAGTCAGAGCAAAAGCTGGGATATAGTCATTTTAACAAATTACTTTTACAAGAATCGTTACGGTACATCAATATATACCGGTATGTAATTGACATTAGTCACAGGTAAGTTCCTATTTCATTGCTTCATTATCGTCACAGCTGTTAAGTTAGAATAAACAGTGCCTTGCGCTGAAACAATCAATGACCCCCACAATCTACTGGTGTACATAATTCATGGGCCCCTGTTGGAATCAATAATCTGTTAACAAAGGCATCAAGAGGGGAAAGTGATAGAGGTTATCTTCCGATACTGATGGAAGTTTAAGGACATTTACTAAAAGAGCAATCTGCTTCTATAGTCATCCGCAGCAATTATTCAACATAGGCATGGGTGAATGGCAGCCCTTTTGATTAAACCATGACTCTTTAATGGTATTTTTGCTTCAGCAATCACCTAAACATGCATGAGTCTCAGGGGTGGTATTGTACTGGTATTAGTTTTCTCACCTGCAGATTATCAACACTGCACACTATGATATTTGTATGTTTGCAGTTATAAGTCTCAAGTCATATGATGACACTGAGAACAAGCCACTTATTGACCGTTACCCTGAAATATTACGGCTTGGACATAGGAGCAAGACATTATGGGGGCACATTATTCTGAAAATTGGGAAAACCCCCAGGTACTGTTAGACACTTCCAGAATTAAGGAGTAGATAATGGAGAAGGTGTGAATATATTTTATTCTGCCCAAGATACCAGAGCTGTACAGCTTAATCACACGGTACAACTATACCTGTTGTTTTACAGGTAAATCCAAAATCCTTTAGTCTAAAATCCTAGTTACCAACACCCTAACACCCTTTGGTCTAAACCCTAGTTACCATTACCCTTTAAACTAAACCCTAGTTACCATTACCCTTTCGACTAAACACTAGTTACCAAAACCCATTAATCTAAACCCTAGTTACCAACACCCTTTAGTCTAAACCCTAGTTACTAACACCCTTTAGTCTAAACCCTAGTCAACAACACCCTTTAGTCTCAATCCTAGCTACCAACACCCTTTGGTCTAAACCCTAGTTAACAACACCCTTTAGTCTAAAACCCTAGTTACCAACACACTTTAGTCTTAACCCTATTAACCAACACCCTTTCATCTAAACCCTTGTTACCAACACACTTTAGGCTAAAACCCTAGTTACCAACACCCTTTAGTCTAAAACCCTAGTTATTAACACCCTTTGGTCTAAACCCTAGTTACCATTACCCTTTAAACTAAACCCTAGTTACCATTACCCTTTCGACTAAACACTAGTTACCAAAACCCATTAATCTAAACCCTAGTTACCAACACCCTTTAGTCTAAACCCCAGTTACAAACTCCCTTTAGTTTAAACCCTAGTTACTGGTGAACACCCTTTAGTCTAAAACCCTAGTTATCATTACCCTTTAGACTAAACCCTAGTTACCATTACCCTTTAGACTAAACCCTAGTTACCATTACCCTTTAGACTAAACCCTAGTTACCATTACCCTTCAGACTAAACCCTAGTTACCATTACCCTTTAGACTAAACCCTAGTTACTATTTCCCTTTAGACTAAACCCTAGTTACCAACACCCTTAAGTTTAAACCCTAGTTATTAACATCATTTAGTCTAAACACTAGTTATCAACACCTTTTAAACTAAACCCTAGTTACCATTACCATTTAGACTAAACCCTAGTTACCATTACCCTTTCGACTAAACGCTCGTTACCAAAACCCATTAATCTAAACCCTAGTTACCAACACCCTTTTATCTAAAACTCTAGTTACCAACACCCTTTAGTTTAAACCCTAGTTATCGACATCCTTTAGTCTAAACCCTAGTTATCAACACCCTTTAGTCTAAACCCTAGTTACCAACACCCTTTATTCTAAACCCTAGTTACCAAAACCCTTTAGACTAACACTTTATTTAGTCTAAGCATCAGATATCAAAACCCTTTGCTCTAAACTTTAAATACCCACTTACATTATTTTGTCTAAGCCTAAAGTACCAACATCTTTTAATCTCACCCAAAGTATCAATACCTTTTTTAAGTAAAAAACCAAGATACCAACATCGACCCTAAGTCTAAAACATACACCAAAAATAATGTTTCACCAAAATTACCCTGTATACAGTATATATATATGCCTATCATTATCATCTATTTCATGACATTTCTTGTAGAAATAGAAACAATGACACGCATCTCAGTTGAAGGCAAAATTTTCAATGTTTCATTTGAAATTTCTGAAAAACATTATGTACTTATAGTCAACAAACCTTAACCCTTTCACCCCTTTGCAACTTTAGTAGACTCTACCATGCATTGATCTGGAGGAGTCCATTATGCTCTATGTACTAGTGGTGAAAGGGTTAACAGACTGTAGTGTACAGACATCCATGTTAGATTGATATCTGACACGGTTTTGTTGCTATGAGAAAGGCTCTCATCATGTTTATATAGGCCAACCGATTCAATATGTAGCTGATAATTTAATAATGGTGTAGCGACCCAACAGGGTAAAATATCATTAAATATGGATGAAAATTTGAAAGAATCTATTACAAAACAAGCAAGTGAGAAACGCTGTTATTGACACATGTTTTCTACCTCACAATCACTCTTTCAAAGTCCCTAAACATGATGTGGTATGGAATAGGTGTTATGCTGACTCCAGCATTTCAGATTATAAATAGTGCATAGGGATTTTTACTACCAGCATCTGAGAGCTTGGCATTTGGAAATGAATCCACTGTTTTAAATCTGGTGTAGGTACACAGTACACATTGCTGACTGAAGACAAACAGATCAATTTGTATAAAAGACACAAATTTGAATTTGAAATATGATAAAAATGCCAAATTCAAGTCAGAGAAACTTTCCCATTTCCTTGTGTATTCATATAATATAAACACTTATACAAATATTTGTTAGATTATCAAGTTTCTAGAGTAAATACAATTTTTTTTCTGAAATAGAAACAGTGATGTTTATCTTGGCAACCTGAAATGAAAACCAGTTTGAGGTACTGTATACCTGAAGAAACCAGTAACTGCCCAGTCAAATATTTGCCATTCAAAGAAATCCATATTGACCAAGTGTTAAGTTTCACACTGCACATACAATTACTATAAAGGGTATTGTGTGTACATAATTATTTGCTGTTATGATAAATTCGCCTTCATTCAGAGAATGAAAAATTAAAATGGAAGTTAAAACTGCAGCAGTACATTTCCTGCTATACAGTACACTTAACAGTACACCTGCTATACAGTACACCTGTTATACAGTAGACCTGCTATACAGTACACCTGTTATACAGTACACCTGCTTTACAGTACACTTTACAGTACACCTGCTATACATGTACACCTGTTATACAGTAGACCTGCTATACATGTACAGTACACCTGCTATACATGTACAGTACACCTGCTATTCATGTACAGTACACTTTACAGTACACCTGCTATACAGGTACAGTACACCTGCTATACATGTACAGTACACTTTACAGTACACCTGATATACATGTACAGTACACCTGCTATACATGTACAGTACCCCTGCTATACATGTACAGTACACCTGCTATACATGTACAGTACCCCTGCTATACATGTACAGTACACTTTACAGTACACCTGCTATACAGTACACCTGTTATACAGTAGACCTGCTATACAGTACACCTGCTATACAGTACACCTGCTATACAGTACACCTGCTTAGTACACCTGCTAACAGTACACCTGCTTTACAGTACACCTGCTTTACAGTATACTATACAGTACACTATACAGTACACTTGCTATATAGTACACTATACAGTACACCTGCTATACAGTACACTATACAGTACACCTGCTATACAGTACACTTTACAGTACACCTGCTTTACAGTACACCTGCTTTACAGTATACTATACAGTACACTATACAGTACACCTGCTATATAATACACCTGCTATACAGTACACTATACAGTACACCTGCTATACAGTTCACTTTACAGTACACTATACAGTACACCTGCTATATAGTACACCTGCTATACAGTACACCTGCTATATAGTACACCTGCTATATAGTACACCTGCTATATAGTACACTTTACAGTACACCTGCTATATAGTGCACCTGCTATACAGTACGCTTTACAGTACACTATACAGTACACCTGCTATACAGTACACCTGTTATACAGTACACCTGCTTTACAGTGCACTTTACAGTACACCTGCTTTACAGTACACTTTACAGTACACCTGCTTTACAGTACACCTGCTATACATGTACAGTACACCTGCTATACAGTACACCTGCTATACATGTACAGTACACCTGATAAACAGTACACCTGCTATACATGTACAGTACACCTGCTATACAGTACACCTGCTATACATGTACAGTACACTTTACAGTACACCTGCTATACATGTACAGTACACCTGCTATACATGTACAGTACACCTGCTATACAGTACACCTGCTATACATGTACAGTACACTTTACAGTACACCTGCTATACATGTACAGTGCACCTGCTATACATGTACAGTACACTTTACATTACACTTTACAGTACACCTGCTATACATGTACAGTACACTTTACAGTACACCTGCATTATAGTACACTTTACAGTACACCAGCTATACAGTACACCTGCTATACATGTACAGTTCACCTGCTATACAGTACACGTTTCCTCATAATTAACAAGTAAATGAAATTTCACGGAAATTTTTCTATACTACTAACCAGTCACCCATGTGGAACACGCGAGTGGCCTTCATCTTCATCACCTGGACCTTGTTAGAGATACACTTCATACTCAAATGTTGGAGCGTCCAGTCCCAGTTATAGTCGTCAAAGTCACAGAACTCCTGTTAAAACAACATCAGTACAGAAATTAGATACAACAAGGCAAAGTACCGAAGGCAATCCATAGTCTCCCACCGGAAATACTTGTTTTTATTTAAATCTACCAAGCATTACCTCTATCTCAGGATATAGGTCACAGTGACTTACTTCTTGTACTCCCCTCTCCACCATTCAAGATATACTTGCATACCATATTTGGTTACTCCTAGCGAAGTCATATAGAAGATCTTGTATACCTCAGATAAACTTATTTTAAAGATAAGGTCAAAAGTCAAAACATAGGTCACAATGACCTACTTCTTGTACTTAAGCCTCCGCCATCCAATGATTTACTTTCATATTAAATCAGTTTACTCCAGGTGAAATAGTTCTTAAGATACGCCAAAGACAAATATTTTTTCAAAGGTTGAGATCAAAGGTCAAAGCAAAGGTCCAAGTGACCTACCAGGTACTTTTTGTACTTGACAATCTGCCATCTCAAGATGTACTAGCATATAGACAATCTGGTTACTCCAGGTGAAATAGTATAGATGATATGCCCTGTACAAACTTTTCAAAAGTAGAGGTCAAAGGTCAAACCATAGGTCACAGTGACATACTTTTTGTACCTGACACTCCAGTATTCACACATGTACTTGTATACCATATCTGGTTACTCCAAGTGAAAAAGTATAGAAGATATGCCCCGGACAAACATTTTGGAAGAAAGGTCAGACTTAAATTAAACAAAACAAACTGATATACATTGTAATGTTTCACTGAAAAAAACCTGACGATTGTTTAAAATTTGAATAATTTAGTTAGTTGTATATCAAGAGCTACCATCAATCTTGATAATATCAACACAAGAATACCAAAGGTGTTAAAAAGAAGGACATGTATGTATAGGTATTCGCTAGGTAATGCCCTCTCCTTACATAGCAACAGAAAAATATGTTTACGATTTACAAAAAATGAACACACACATTTGCCATGCTAATGTAGTGGACACTCAATAATCCAGCCCCTGTTGTTCCCAGCCAATGGGGCTGGGCTATCAGACCGCTGGATTACAGGAACAAATTCTGTTCAGAAAACACATCACAACATCCCCTTAAAAGCTTACTGCATATTGGAACAACTGGATTAGTGATGACTGAATTTACAAGACTTGACTGTATAGTACAATATTGCTTCTTAATTTGTTTCCATTTATACTTACCCGAGCACACTTTTTAATTTCATTCCACAAATCTCTTGCAAACGTCATACCCATGTTATGTCTAGAGGAGATGAAGGTTGCCAACTCCACCTGAAATATATCCATCATAAAATGTCAGAGGTTAGACTCAGATCCAGGGGTCATAAGGTCAGTAACTCAGTAGGATAAGTATTCAAGGTCAGGGGGTCAAAATCAAATGCACAGCAGGATAGGTATTCAAGGTCAGAGGTCAACATCTAATGTCAGCATCAACATTCAAGGTTAGCAGGTCACCATCTTCAGTAAAGAGAGGGAATTCAAGATATTTAAGGATTAACTTGAATATATTTTTCATGCTATGGAGATATAACACAAAAAACCGGAGTTAACTCTAAATAAACCGCGAAGCGGTTTATGATGAGAGTACACTCCGTTTTTTTGTGTTATAGCTCCACAACATGAAAAATATATTTAACTTAATCCTTATAATTTAATCTACTATACACAATCCCTGTGGAAATCCACTTTTATTGATGGACTCTTTTCTCTTAGAAATTATTGCGCTGCAGTATCAGCCAATCAAAAGCGATGTTACAAACGGCGACGTCATTTTTTACGTTATGGGCTGATAACATAAATTTTTAAGCCAATGAAAATGCTTGTTACAAGCAAGATTAAATTCAATGTTAGAGGATAATTATTTTCAGTCTAAAGTAGTTCAAGGTCAGAGATCAACAACTTATGTGAGCAAGAGTGGAGTACAAGGTCAGAGGTCACCTCATAAAGACAATGAAAAGGATAAACGAAAGGGTACAAACCTTGCCAGAGTTCACCACAAAACTTTGGGTTTTATCATAATTCCCAGCAGTCAGCATTCTGCATTCTTTGCAATCCCTGCAACAGAAACCAGTTCAATGTATTATTTCTCTGATTTAACATGTAATTCTGTCATCATGCATATGGACACATTGGTAAGTAAAATGGAACTTTACCAAAACTCTTCGAAGGCTATTGTAAATAAGAAAAAAAATACCACAGCCTTGAAAAACATAAAGACAAATTAAATCTTAAAATTGTCAAAAAATTGAAACAAGAGACCCCACTCCGGCATTCCCCTGAAAGATGCTGGGAAAATGAAAGAAAATCAAATCTTCAAATAAAAACTAAAAAAAAAAGAAAAAAAAAAGAGGCCCAATGGGCCTGCATCGCTCACCTGGTATAAATCTCACACTTGTAATCTTAATAGTGGACTAAATAACAGCTACAGGCAGAAAATCAGTGTTTGATTCATAAGAACCTATTAAAACATGTAAACATATGACGCCTGTGACCTGAATGTCGAACAAGGACATTAGGTTGAAAGTGGGAAAAGGTCATTCATTTGAACAAACTTGGTAGCCCTTCATCCCAGCATGCTACAGGCCCAATTTCAGTACTCTTGGCCATTTGGTTATTGAGAAGAAGTTGTTTGAAGATTTTAAGACATTTGATCCCTGTGACCTTGAAAGTTGGTCAAGGTCATTCATTCAAAAAAACTCGGCCTTTTGGTTATCGAGAATAAGTTGTTTGAAGATTTTATCACATTTGACCCCTGTGACCTTGAAAGTTGGTCAAGGTCATTCATTCGAAAAAACTTGGTAGCCCTTTATCCCAGCATGCTACAGGCCCAATATCAGTACCCTGGGCCTTTTGGTTATTGAGAAGAAGTTGTTTGAAGATTTTAAGACATTTGACCCCTGTGACCTTGGAAGTGGGTCAAGGTAATTCATTTGAACAAACTTGGTAGCCCTTCATCCCAGCATGCTACTGGCCAAATATCATCTGTCTGGGCCTCTTGGTTATTGAGAAGAAGTTGTTTAAAGTAAAAAGTTGACGCCAGACGGACGGACGACGGACAATGCACCATGACATAAGCTCACTTGGCCCTTCGGGCCAGGTGAGCTAATGATTGAAAGTCAAACGACATTAAAACATATAGACATCAAACCTCCCACACCCACCCCAGGCCTGTCACCACCCTCTATATACGATACAGAGGTAAAAACCAAGTGCTACAAAAGGATATGCTTCCACCACTTTCTCAGCTTTAACCTTTGGTCAGTTCATGAAGTAAACTGACCTCAGTACTGGTGACCTCTGAGAGAGTAAAACTGACCGCAGTACTAGTGAACGCTGAGAGAGTAACACTGACCACAGTACTAGTGACCACTGAGAGAGGTAAACTGACAACAGTAATGGTGACCACTGAGAGAGGTAAACTGACCACAGTACTATTGACAACTGAGAGGTAATTATAAACTGACCACAGTACTGATGACTACTGAGACAGTTAAACTGACAACAGTAATGGTGACTACTGAGAGAGGTAAACTGACAACAGTACTATTGACAACTGAGAGGTAATTATAAACTGACCACAGTACTGATGACTACTGAGACAGTTAAACTGACCTCAGTACTGATGACCACTGAGACAGTTAAACTGACAACAGTACTGATGACTACTGAGAGAGGTAAACTGACCATAGTATTGGTGACCACTGAGAGAGGTAAACTGACAACAGTAATGGTGACCACTGAGAGAGGTAAACTGACCATAGTATTGGTGACTACTGAGAGAGTTATACTGACCACAGGACTGGTGACCACTGATAGAGGTAAACTGACCACAGTACTGGTGACCACTTATAGAGGTAAACTGACCACAGTATTGGTGACCACTGATAGAGGTTAACTGACCACAGTACTGGTGACCACTGATAGAGGTAAACTGACCACAGTACTGGTGACCACTGATAGAGGTAAACTGACCACAGTACCTGTGACCACTGAGAGAGGTAAACTGACCACAGTACTGGTGACCACTTAGAGAGGTAAACTGACCACAGTATTGGTGACCACAGAGAGGTAAACTGACCACAGTATTGGTTACCACTTATAGAGGTAAACTGACAACAGTACTGGTGACCACTGATAGAGGTAAACTGACCATAGTATTGGTGACCACTGATAGAGGTAAACTGACCACAGTACCTGTGACCACTGAGAGAGGTAAACTGACCACAGTATTGATGACCACTGAGAGAGGTAAACTGACCACTAACTGACCACAGTACTGGTGACCACTGATAGAGTTAAACTGACCACAGTACTGGTGACCACTGAGAGGTAGTAATTATAAACTGACCTCAGCAATGGTGACCACTGAAAGAGAGATAAACTGACCACAGTACTGGTGACCACTGAGACAGGTAAACTTACCACAGTACTGGTGACCACTGAGAGGGAATTATAAACTGACCACAGGAATGGTGACCACTGAAAGAGAGATAAACTGACCACAGTACTGGTGACCACTGAGACAGGTAAACTGACCACAGTACTGCACTGTGAGTTAAACTGACCACAGTACTGGTGACCACTGAGAGAGATAAACTGACAACAGTAATGGTGACCACTGAGAGAGGTAAACTGACCACAGAATTGGAGACCACTGAGAGAGTTATACTGACCACAGTATTGGTGACCACGGAGAGAGTTATACTGACCACAGTATTGGTGACCACGGAGAGAGTTATACTGACCACAGTATTGGTGACCACGGAGAGAGTTATACTGACCACAGTATTGGTGACCACTGATAGAGGGAAACTGACCACAGTACTGGTGACCACTGAGAGAGGTATACTGACCACAGTATTGGTGACCACAGAGAGAGTTATACTGACCACTGTATTGGTGACCACTGATAGAGGTAAACTGACCACAGTACTGGTGACTACTGAGAGAGTTATACTGACAACAGTAATGGTGACCACTGAGAGGTAAACTGACCACAGTACTGGTGACCACTTATAGAGGTAAACTGACCACAGTATTGGTGACCACTGATAGAGGTAAACTGACCACAGTATTGGTGACCACTTATAGAGGTAAACTGACACCAGTACTGGTGACCACTGATAGAGGTAAACTGACCACAGGAATGGTGACCACTGAGAGAGGTAAACTGAGCACAGTATTGGTGACCACTGATAGAGGGAAACTGACCACAGTACTGGTGACCACTGAGAGAGGTATACTGACCACAGAATTGGTGACCACTGAGATAGGTAAACTGACCACAGTATTGATGACCACTGAGAGAGGTAAACTGACCACTAACTGACCACAGTACTGGTGACCACTGATAGAGAGATTAATTGACCACAGTACTGGTGACCACTGAAAGAGGTAAACTGACCACAGTACTAGTGACCCCTGATAGAAAGATTAACTGTCCACAGTACTACTGACCACTATGAGAGGTATACTGAGAGAGGTAAACTGACCACAGTATTGGTGACCACTGATAGAGGGAAACTGACCACAGTACTGGTGACCACTGAGAGAGGTATACTGACCACAGTATTGGTGACCACAGAGAGAGTTATACTGACCACTGTATTGGTGACCACTGATAGAGGTAAACTGACCACAGTATTGGTGACCACTGAGAGAGTTATACTGACCACAGAATTGGTGACCACTGAGAGAGGTAAACTGACCACAGTATTGGTGACCACTGATAGAGGTAAACTGACCACAGTACTGGTGACCACTGAGAGAGGTAAACTGACCACAGTACAGGTGACCACTGAGAGAGATAAACTGACAACAGTAATGGTGACCACTGAGAGGTAAACTGACCACAGTACTGGTGACCACTGAAAGAGGTAAACTGACCACAGTACTGATGACTACTGAGACAGGTAACTGACCACAGTACTGGTGACCACTGAGAGGTAATTATAAACTGACCACAGGAATGGTGACCACTGAAAGAGAGATAAACTGACCACAGTAATGGTGACCACTGAGAGAGGTAAACTGACCACAGTACTGGTAACCACTGATAGAGGTAAACTGACTACAGTACTGGTGACCACTGAGAGAGGTAAACTGACCACAGTACTGGTGACCACTGAGACAGGTAAACTGACCACAGTACTGGTGACCACTGAGACAGGTAAACTGACCACAGTACTGCACTGTTAGTTAAACTGACCACAGTACTGGTGACCACTGAGAGGTAAACTGACCACAGTACTGGTGACCACTGATAGAGATTAATTGACCACAGTACTGGTGACCACTGAAAGAGGTAAACTGACCACAGTACTAGTGACCACTGATAGAAAGATTAACTGTCCACAGTACTACTGACCACTATGAGAGATATACTGACCACAGTACTACTGACCCCTGTGAGAGGTATACTGACCTTTTCTTTAAGTTATTCATCATTTGTATAACAGTGATGATGTCTGGAGCCACGTAGTAATCCTCCTCCAGCAGCAATACATGGCCCGTGTAGTTCTTCATCACTTCTAGCTTATCAAACACACGGTCCAACTGTCAACATCAAATATTTCAGGATACAGAACCTTGAAATCTTATAATAGACACATTATAAATAATCTACCACTTTGCAAAACTTCATGTATGATCAATATAATGTACAATTTTGTTGTTTTCCGTAATGGATATTGACAGTTGTCTCCTAGATATAAATGCTAATGAAAAGCTTTCCTTATTTCGGGAATTACTTGTTGAAATTTTTGATCTTCAAAGAAGCAAATTTTCAAACAATATCTTTTATCTTTATTAAATGTTTTTCTGATCAATCATATACTTTCCACAATTACCCCTCTGCAGTTCACTTAATATCATGAAAAGAATATGGCTCCAAATACTAACACACAGATCTTTCTCTGTATTTATTTAAACCATTAATGTTTTATACGAATGAAGTTTTAATCCTTTAACCTGCGTTAATATTGCTGTCTAACCTAATGAAGCCTGACAGTGCTATACTTCAGCTCGTCACCAATAGGTCGTCAAGCTTTATTAAGTAATTACACTCTTCTGACGCCATTTTATGAAATTCTTAGAACAATTAAGTCACTGACTTAAGCATTGTCACTAACAGAGGTGACGTCACGATTGTTGTCACCTGACAAAATGGTGTCAAAGCATTTATAAAGTCTGGAAACAGACGCATTGTCATCTTTACACATAGCAATGGGAGGCTTCACAGCCGCACTGTCATCCTTACACATAGCAATGCGAGGCTTCACAGCCGAACTGTCATCTTGACACATAGCACTGGGAGGCTTCACAGCCGGACTGTCATCTTTACTCATAGCAATGGGAGGCTTCCCAGCCGCACTGTCATCCTTACACATAGCAATGGGAGGCTTCACAGCCGCACTGTCATCTTTACACATAGCAATGGGAGGCTTCACAGCAAGTGGAAATAGGTGTCAAAGCATTGATAAAGTCCCATATTGATGGTGATGGGGATGGTGATAAAAATGAAGAATCGATAGAATTTTCAAAACTATCACACAGGACAAGTATAGAGAATACAGATACAGGGTGACTATTTCACCGATGTACTTACTTTCCATAACCAGTGGTGCTTGGTCTGACAATACTTCGGCTCTCTGTAATGTCCGTATTTGTCTGGAAATGCTGCATTATTGCATTTTTTCTTTAAAGCTCTGCAATGGTAAGGGAGAATGCAATAAAGGATAATGCTATATGCATTTATTCATTGTATGGCTATACAATAAGGGGAGCCCGATAGTCTGGTACTAGTGAAATCTCCAGCTGGACTACTGCAGGGCTAGACAATAAGTGTAGCGTGATAGTCTGATACTAGTGGAATCTCCAGCTGGATTACTGCAGGGCTAGACAATAAGGGGAGCCCGATAGTCTGATACTAATAGAATCTCCAGCTGGACTACTGTAGGGCTAGACAATAAGGGTAGCGTGATAGTCTGATACTAGTGGAATCTCCGGCTGGACTACTGCAGGGCTAGACAATAAGGGTAGCCCGATAGTCTGATACTCGTGAAATCTCCAGCTGGACTACTGTAGGGCTAGACAATAAGGGTAGCCCGATAGTCTGATACTAGTGGAATCTCCAGCTGGACTACTGCAGGGCTAGACAATACGGGTAGCCTGATAGTCTGAGACTAGTGAAATCTCCAGCTCGACTACTGCAGGGCTAGACAATAAGGGTAGCCTGATAGTCTGATACTCGTGAAATCTCCAGCTGGACTACTGTAGGGCTAGACAATAAGGGTAGACCGATAGTCTGATACTAGTGGAATCTCCAGCTGGACTACTGCAGGGCTAGACAATACGGGTAGCCTGATAGTCTGAGACTAGTGAAGTCTCCAGATGGACTACTGCAGGGCTAGACCATAAGGGTAGCCCGATAGTCTGATACTAGTGAAATCTCCAGCTGGACTACTGCGCGCAGAGCTAGGCAATAAGGGTAGCCCATTAGTCTGATACTAGTGAAATCTCCAGCTGGACTACTGCAGGGCTAGACAATAAGGGGAGCCTGATAGACTGAGACTAGTGAAATCTCCAGCTGGAGTACTGCAGGACTAGACAATAAGGGTAGCCCGATAGTCTGAGACTAGTGAAATCTCCAGCTGGACTACTGCAGGACTAGACAATAAGGGTAGCCCGATAGTCTAAGACTAATGAAATCTCCAGCTGGACTACTACAGGGCTAGACAATAAGGGGAGCCTGATAGTCTGAGACTAGTGAAATCTCCAGCTGGACTACTGCAGGACTAGACAATAAGGGTAGCCTGATAGTCTGAGACTAGTGAAATCTCCATCTGGACTACTGCAGGGCTAGACAATAAGGGTAGGCCTGATAGTCTGAGACTAGTGAAATCTCCATCTGGACTACTGCAGGGCTAGACAATAAGGGTAGGCCTGATAGTCTGAGACTAGTGAAATCTCCAGCTGGACTAGTGCAGGGCTAGACAATAAGGGTAGCCCGATAGTCTAAGACTAGTGAAATCTCCAGCTGGACTACTGCAAGGCTAGACAATAAGGATAGCCTGATAGTCTGAGACTAATGAAATCTCCAGCTGGACTACTGCTGGGCTAGACATTAAGGGTAGCCCGATAGTCTGATACTGGTGGAATCTCCAGCTGGACTACTGCAGGGCTAGGCAATAAGGGGAGCCTGATAGACTGAGATTAGTGAAATCTCCAGCTGGACTACTGCAGAGCTAGACAATAAGGAGAGCCTGATAGACTGAGACTAGTGAAATCTCCAGCTGGACTACTGCGCGCAGGGCTAGACAATAAGGGGAGCCTGATAGTCTGAGACTAGTGAAATCTCCATCTGGACTACTGCAGGGCTAGACAATAAGGAGAGCCTGATAGACTGAGACTAGTGAAATCTCCAGCGGGACTACTGCAGGGCTAGACAATAAGGGTAGGCCTGATAGTCTGAGACTAGTGAAATCTCCATCTGGACTACTGCAGGGCTAGACAATAAGGGGAGCCCGATAGTCTGAGACCAGTGAAATCTCCAGCTGGACTACTGCAGGACTAGACAATAAGGGGAGCCCGATAGTCTGAGACCAGTGAAATCTCCAGCTGGACTACTGCAGGGCTAGACAATAAGGGTATTCTGATAGTCTGAGACTAGTGAAACCTCCAGCTGGACTACTGCAGGGCTAGACAATAAGGGTAGCCCTATATGCTAAGACTAGTGAAATCTCCAGCTGGACTACTGCAGGGCTAGGCAATAAGGGGAGCCTGATAGACTGAGATTAGTGAAATCTCCAGCTGGACTACTGCAGGGCTAGACAATAAGGGTAGCCTGATAGTCTGAGACTAATGAAATCTCCAGCTGGACTACTGCAGTGCTAGACAATAAGGGTATTCTGATAGTCTGAGACTAGTGAAATCTCCAGCTGGACTAGTGGTTCTCAAAACTACTAGCCAGATTGGCTGGTCACAATTTGATAATGCTAATCTTGTTAAATAATATTGGGTAAGTTGAATCTGCACATGGACTAGTAAAAATTGGAAACTACTAACCGAACTGACAAGTGGTATTCAAAATTAATTTCTTGCCTTAGTATGGTAATATGAATCTCCTTGCATTGCCATGCCCAATATGATTGTTAATTAGTATCTAGAATTAATTAATTAATTAATTAATTGAAAGGTAAACAAGAAATTACTTATTCCTTGTTACTTTCTATACTGATATACTAAACACTATTAAATTCAATCAAAAAGAAATCCTCTTACTCTTCCTTTTTCACGTCCCGTGGACAGTCGTTGGGATCCTGACCAGGAAATTCTTTGGGATGTAATTGAAGTGTAATAGGAAAATATATTTGCATTACCTGAAAGAAATCAAGAAACTTGTACATTATTTTTTTTAAATAAATTTGTCTGTGTACTGGATCAGTAAACATACAATCACTACAAAGTACAAGGATTGATACAATAAACAGAAACATTTTATTTGTTGAAAGTAAAAGTTGACTCAGTGGCGACGGATGCTGTACCACAGAATAAGCTCGATCATTATCACAGGTCCCTTGGACCAGGTGAGTTTTAAATAAATACCATAGGACAACTCATTTAAAGAACCCAATCTTCTGGTACTAAACCTTTCATAATGGACTATTCCAACCATTGAATCGGAAGGGTTCAAATGTCTCTTCAGGGGTGAATGAGTACATCGTTATTTATTCTAAAAGCAATTATTTATTCTAAAAGCAATTTTAATAAAACTCACTGCTGATGATACTCTAATAGCTCCAAGGAAATAGTTTCAAGTCACATTTCAAAAATTTATTTATACACGTACGTGTACAAATAACTAACATTTCCTAAATGAGAGGCTATATTTGCGTCAATTATGCTACAGGCAATGTATTCCGCTATAGTTTGAATTACCAAGTTATTTTGAAATTCAATCATTTCCTGATAACATTCAACATCTGTATATTGAACCAAACTTAAAAAATTATTTTCAAATTATTATTTTATATTTTATAGTCTATACTGATGCATAACTTTTAAAAATTAGAAATATTGATCGAAACATAAATGGAAGAATAAAATAATATATTAGATATTTAAAACACTAAATCAAGCACGCTTTTTCAAAATAACATTCAACATCTGTATATTGAACCAAATTTAAACATTTATTTTGAAATTATTATTTTATATTTTATAGTCTACACTGATGCATATGACTTTTAAAAATTAGAAATATTGATCAAAACATAAATGGAAGAATAAAATATTATATTAGATATTTAAAACACTAAATCAAACAAGCTTATCAAACAAATGGTCCAAAATAGAAATATTACAACAACATTAGTTCTATTTTGGTGAGGTTATTTTTATGAGGTGAAAACTCCCACAGAGCGTGAAGAAATTGTCAGAAATCATGATCAATTATTTACTCAACCAGTTGAATTTTTATACCTGGACAGGGATATAATGTCAATATACTAGAGATCATCTACATTTCACTCTAAATTTCTCAGACTGTCAGACTGACTTAGTTTGATCGTACTTTTATGCGAGGATAAACATGTACATATTTTGCATTTTTACAGTGTTATGTTATAAATAATTTCTATATATACATAAATAATATGGGATAGCTACAAAAGTTGGATATATATATATACATATGGCAAATATATACCGCAATTTACATGAATTACCAAACACAAAACTAAAAATACTTACCGGACAAAAATCCACTGAATGTATGATTTTATTCAATTCATCCGAATAAACATCATGACTAAATATTAACAGCGAGTCTTTGATTTGATTTACTTTTCGTAAAGAATCTATCAGTATCTGGAGGTATTGCGATCTGTCATGAACTTGTACCACTATAACCAAGCTATCCGCCTTGAGTTTCAGGCCAAACTTATTAAGGTTGTGTATAAACTGTTCCCGATTGGCTCGTTCAATTTCAAGATGAATCTGAGTCAGGTTGCTCTCCTCAATATCACGGTGAAGGAATGTTTTGTTATATTGGTTGATGGGTATAAAAACCTCTAATCCGCTGGAATCATTGGCGTTTTTGGCATCACTGAGCTCGGACAAGTGTGTTTGCACATGTGCCGTGTCTCCCCAGTTGCCTTGGTGACGGAGCTTTCGGAGCAGTGATATGTTTATTTCGTCACCGTTTCGCGGTTCAAAATGCATCAGCACATGCATGTTGAGGAAGACAAAAAGAACGAGAATGACCATGAACAGGGTTCTGATAAGTCGGGTTGGGTGAACCTTCATTTCTCCAAGTGTCCCTAACAATGACTGATTTGCTCGCTTTTTTTTCTTATACGTGAATGACTGCATTGAACACAGAGCTTTCTTCTCTATCTCACTTGCACACCTCGAATAAGCACATTGTATCTGCCTGCAATCATTAACATGCTACGCAATTTGTGTATTTGGTTTTTAATTTTCTTCAGTGAAAAACACCACAGATAAGAATGGATGGCTCGTAAAAGATGATATTCAAATATTCCCTGGCTCTAATCTCCAGATGATGACGTGAAAAGTTGCCTTGCAGTGTATTTCACTCAATGACAACCATGTAAATTCGCCAAATGACCCCTGGGCTACTTCTTACTCAAAATTTGCAATTCATTAAGTTGCAACATGACCATAAATCACAGTATAATTGCCTTGGATTCATACATATATCATCAGACACAGGTATATGGAGATTGTCTAGATTAATTTAAAGCAAATGCCCTTAGTTCCTTTCAGGTGCAGGTACCAAGGAGCTATAGGTTATCCCCAGAAAGTGTGACAATCTCCAGGAGCCTTAGACGACATGCAGGTTCGGAGGGTATGGCAGTACATATGGTCTACAGCCATGTATATAGATTTGTCAGTCACTGTCGTGTAACAGCTGTCCTAGGATAATAGACTAGGAAGATCCCATGGATTATAACTCGATGAATTGTTGATGAAGGGATATGGCGATTATGAGAATATGACCACAGTTTGTCAATAAACATGTGACACTGATTGCTTAGCTGGTCTGCATTGAAGTTTTGTTGGCTGTGTCCCTTTGTAAATGACTTGTTGCTAGCTCATCCATTCCTATTCATTCCCAGCTGACACTACACAGAACATGGCAATAATTCTGAAATAAAGCGAAAACAAGTTATGCAAAGAAAAAACATATTTTTGAGACATACATATATAAATATATTTTCTGGTGAATAATGAAAGCACTTAGCTGTAGGTCATTGCAAGAATTTCCACAATTTACAACGAGTTGGTTCACTAAGGTTATCTATTGCATATTTACAGATTTACATTCGATAGGCATATTGGAAATTCTGATGATTTCACTGGTTTGTGAAATCTAGAACTTAAGCCACAGGCTTACTATATATGTATACAGATATATTTATACATTATATAGTATAATATACATGTATAATGACTAATACCCTGACATAAAGTCAGAGAAGGGGAAAAACTATGACATAAAAATTAGTTGAACTAAAAAGTAAATTGCAACTGCCCAACTACCCATTGGGTACCAACCATTTGACCAAATTTCATAAATATCGACAGAGAAGTTAAGCAGTATTATCATCACTTCAAATAAAATTTACAAAAAATACATTTTATAAAAGGGGGCATAACTCCTGTTGAAATAGTCAGTAATCACAAGCACACAACTACTTGCATAAAGAGTACTTCATGACCATGCATAACAATTTTAAGTTTCATTGATATCAGTGAAGAAGGCACGTAACAGTTCTCCGGACAAAACCTTATAGAAAGATATCAGAAAAGGGACATAACTCATAAAAAATCATCACAATTAAAAATAATTAAATCATTGAAGATACTGGTCATGTGTCAAATAAGCAGCGGTTCATCAAATAAACAATCTAATTAAAATTATATCTTGGCATCGCTCCCATTTACTGATATGTAGCGAGACATATCAGTAAACGGGAACGATGCCAAGATATAATTTTAAGTAGATTGCCAGACAAACTTCGTTCCACAGACAGAAAGATGGATGGACAGATGGACGTACACTTTAAATGATTCCAGCATATATAGTTAACCCTCCCCCACTTCATGTCACTGCGGGGAGCTTGAGTACAATAGACAACTAAAACATACTAAGATAATGAATGAGAAAGTTCTTTCTCAAATGTATGTGCACTTATGTGTCTTTATTTCTTTACAAACAAAATTTTAAGTTTTCTTTTCCCTTTTGTTTTGTTCATGCTTCTTATACAGGAATTAAACAGTCAATAATGATGAAATACCAGACATTGTTTAATTTAAAAAGTTTGACAAATACAATACCATACAATAAATCTAAGTTCACTTTCAAACGAATTTGATACCTGAAGACATATGCCCTTAGCTTTGGGTCAGGTGAGATAGAAGTCTATGAAAATAGCTGAACCAGTGAAATTTGAGTTGAGACTAGTACGTTCAGTACATCATCTAGCTCAGGGCCAAATTACAGACGTCTGTCCACATTTTTTGTCCATTTGTGTTAGAATTTGTGACCATTTGAAGAAAAAGCAGTATTCAGTGAGTTTAAATATGTTTGAGAATATTAAGTTAAAACTGTTATTTAAAAAAGACCCCACAAAATTAGAAGCTTAAAATGTTGGACTAAGATGTCTTGCAACTTTTTTGCAACTTTATTTGCAAGCACACAATACCTTTAAGTTAAGGAGGCCTGTGCATGAAAACATGTCAAAAGTAGGGGGTGGGCTTAATGTATATACCCCAACTCAAACCAGACTGTGTGTGTGTGTGAGAGAGATTAAGTAGCAGTGGATCTGATGGAAAAGTCCTCTACAGCAGAGTGGACAAACAGCCCAGTACAAACATCATGATGAACTCCTCCCTGTCCCCTGGCCGAGACATACCAGAGTCTATAACAAGAGGCCCAATGGGCCTGAATCGCTCACCTGGTATTAATTTCACACTTGTTATCTTAAAAGTGGACTACAATACAACTACAGGCAGAATATTGGTGTTTGATTAATAAGAACCTATTAAAATATTTAAACATATGACACCCGTGACCTTGAATATCAAACAAGGATATTAGGTTGAACAGAATTTATAGTCTTCCAACCCAGCATGCTTCTAGCAAAATATCATTACCCTGGACTTTTTGGTTATACAGAACAAATCATTTAAAGATTTAAACATATATTGACCACGGTGACCTTGAATATGGGCGAAGATTATTCATTTAAACAAACTTGGTAACCCTTCATCCCTGCATGTAAATGGCCAAATGTCATCACCCTAGGCCTCTTGGTTATTCAGAAATAGTTGTGTAAAAGTTTTAAACTTATTTGACCCCTGTGACCTTGAATATAAGTCAAGGTCATTTATTTGAACAAACTTGGTAGCCCTTCATCCCAGCATGTTACTGGTCAAATATCATTACCCTAGGCCTCTTGGTTATTCAGAAATAGTTGTGTAAAAGTTTTAACCTTATTTGACCCCTGTGACCTTGAATATAAGTCAAGGTCATTTATTTGAACAAACTTGGTAGCCTTTCACCCCAGCATGTTACTGGCTAAATATCATCACCCTAGGCCTCTTGGGTATTCATAAGAAGTTGTTTAAAAGATTTTAACATATTTGACTCCTGTGACCTTGAAAATGGATGAAGGTCATTTATTTGAACAAACTTGGTAGCCTTTCACCCCAGCATGTTACTGGCTAAATATCACCACCCTAGGCCTCTCGGTTATTCAGAAGAAGTTGCTTAAAGATTTTAACATATTTGACCCCTATGACCTTGAAAATTAATGAAGGTCATTTATTTGTTTAAACTTGGTAGCCCTCCATCCCAGCATGCTTCTGGCCAAATATCATAACCCTAGGCCTTTTGCTTACTGAGAAGAAGTTGTTTAAAAGTAAAAAGTTGACGCCGGACGCCGCACGATGCCATAAGCTCACTTGGGGGCCAGGTGAACTAAAAATGGTAGTTTCTACTCCTGCTTAACGTTCAGCAATTTGGGAGTGGGACGACTGGTTCGCCCGTTGTCAATATAATGTGACCGGGTCGGGTGTCCTGCTAGGTGTCTTCGGCAGTATGTTTCAGTGAGGTAGCACTATAAAGTCGGCATCAGTTCTGCGCTATCACACGGAGACAAACACGAACATATCGCAGCCTCCCAAAACACATACGCATACACTACACGCATGCATCTTGCACAAAGGAAAGGCCGTCCTTAAATGACCATAGCTTGTGATAGGACGTTAAACAATACTAAACCAAACCAAACTTACAAATAAAAGAATTCACTAATTCTATCACACTGATCTATCAGATAGAAATGTTCTGCCACTGAAGCATGTATTGATCATATAATCGGGCCAAACAAATATAATTTGTGTTTCTAGTGTAACTGCTGGAGAAAAAAGACAGGTACTTATGTTTCGTATCCGTCATTTAATTTTACATCAAGCTACAATAGGTACGTACAATAGGTGTAGTGTGATACACATGTTCATATCAATATCATTCCGTACTAAGTTGAAGCAAAACAATTCCTGGTGGCAGCAAAAAAGTATCATATTTATTATACTGCCTGTTTGAGCGACCAACTTGTATAAAGGTTTTTTTTATATTTAACACTGTATACTTATTCTGAAGCTGTCCAGATCAAACCCTGACTTATAACATATTGCCTGTTTCCAATATCAACAGAAAAAAATTGTAGACTTATATACATCATAAACCTGTAGGTGTGTTTTGTATAGTACCTAAGAAAACTGATACTGACCTTAAGTTTTGGATTTTTACTGAAAACATTTTTCAAATCAGAAATTGATGGTCCCATGGATATCATTATAATTATATACAGATGTATATACATTACATTACATTTACATTAGCTTAAAATCTAATGTTAAATGAAATTCACACAAAAAAAATGCCCATATATATTTATAGAGTTGAAATATCAATATACCCTTTATAAAGTTTTCAAAGGCGAGTCTATCTCTCTTATTTCATCTTTTTTGATTTTAAAAAAAGAAGTCCTACTAGGTATGGCTTTTTTTTCAGAAATATTTTCTAGAATCTATAGTCATGTCAGATAAAATAGTTTCCAATGTGTAGGTACAGGTTTTGGCAGTGGTCTGGGATCATTGATACTGAAATTCATTTAATTAGGTGCTAGCTAGCATTTTGAAAGAAAATCAATCTGATAATTTTCAGCACCTTTGTTCGGGTATTAAACATCAGAAGTTTTGTTTGACAGTTGTTAAATCCTATACAACAGCTACATGTACAAATCATGAAGCTCAGAAAACTCCAAATGAGAAAAATATAGCTAGTCGAGCCCCAAGTTTTCAAGGACTAACCTACACACACAATGTATGTATAGTATCCAAGGACCTTGCATTTGGGATAAAGAAAAGGTTGAAGATATCGACGGTTATTGTTATATACAGAGGATTGTTGTAGACAGGTAGTAGATAAAGACAGGTTGTAGATAAAGACAGTTGATTGTTATAGACAGTTGATTATTATAGACAGATGATTGTTATAGACAGGTTGGAGATATAGATAGTTGACTGTTATAGACAGGTGGTTATAATATAGACATTTGTTATGGAGGGTTGTTTTAGTTATAGACAGACAGTTATTAAAGACAGGTTGTATATATAGATAGTTGATTGTATAGACAGATAATTATAATATAGACATTTGTTATGGAGGGTTGTTTAAATTATAGACAGACAGTTATTATAGACAGGTTCTAGATATAGATAGTTGGTTGAAATAGACAGGTGGTAGTTATTGAGGGTTGTTGTTGTTATAGACAGGTTGTAGAAATAGACAGTTGGTTGATATAGACAGGTGGTAGTTATTGAGGGTTGTTGTTATAGACAGACAGTTGTTAAAGACAGGTTGTAGATATAGACAGTTGGTTGGTATAGTCAGGTGGTAGTTACAGACAGTTGGTGGATATAGACAGGTGGTAGTTATTGAGGGTTGTTGTTGTTATAGACAGACAGTTGTTATAGACAGGTTGTAGTTACAGACAGTTGGTTGATATAGACAGGTGGTAGTTACAGACAGTTGGTGGATATAGACAGGTGGTAGTTATTAAGGGTTGTTGTTGTTATAACCAGACAGTTGTTATAGACAGGTTGTAGATATAGACAGTTGGTCGATATAGTCAGGTGGTAGTTACAGACAGTCGGTTGTAATATACCAGTAATATAGATAGATGGTTTAGTTATATATAATGCATGTGGTAGTTATAGACAGTCGGTTGTTATAGACCAGTAATATAGATAGATGGTAGTTATATATAAAACATGTGGTAGTTATAGACAGGTGGTAGTTATAGACAGTCGGTTGTAATATACCAGTAATATAGAGTATAGATAGATGGTAGTTATATATAATACATGTGGTAGTTACAGACAGTTGGTTGTAATATACCAGTAATATAGATAGATGGTTTAGTTATATATAATGCATGTGGTAGTTATAGACAGTCGGTTGTTATAGACCAGTAATATAGATAGATGGTAGTTATATATAAAACATGTGGTAGTTATAGACAGGTGGTAGTTATAGACAGTCGGTTGTAATATACCAGTAATATAGAGTATAGATAGATGGTAGTTATATATAATACATGTGGTAGTTATAGACAGTTGGTTGTAATATACCAGTAATATAGATAGATGGTTTAGTTATATATAATACATGTGGTAGTTATAGACAGTCGGTTGTAATATACCAGTAATATAGATAGATGGTTTAGTTATATATAATACATGTGGTAGTTACAGACAGTCGGTTGTAATATACCAGTAATATAGATAGATGGTTTAGTTATATATAATGCATGTGGTAGTTATAGACAGTCGGTTGTTATAGACCAGTAATATAGATAGATGGTAGTTATATATAAAACATGTGGTAGTTATAGACAGGTGGTAGTTATAGACAGTCGGTTGTAATATACCAGTAATATAGAGTATAGATAGATGGTAGTTATATATAATACATGTGGTAGTTATAGACAGTTGGTTGTAATATACCAGTAATATAGATAGATGGTTTAGTTATATATAATACATGTGGTAGTTATAGACAGTCGGTTGTAATATACCAGTAATATAGATAGATGGTTTAGTTATATATAATACATGTGGTAGTTATAGACAGTCGGTTGTAATATACCAGTAATATAGATAGATGGTTTAGTTATATATAATGCATGTGGTAGTTATAGACAGTCGGTTGTTATAGACCAGTAATATAGATAGATGGTAGTTATATATAAAACATGTGGTAGTTATAGACAGGTGGTAGTTATAGACAGTCGGTTGTAATATACCAGTAATATAGAATATAGATAGATGGTAGTTATATATAATACATGTGGTAGTTATAGACAGTCGGTTGTAATATACCAGTAATATAGATAGATGGTAGTTATATATAATACATGTGGTAGTTATATATAGACAGGTGGTAGTTACAGACAGTCGGTTGTAATATACCAGTAATATAGATAGATGGTAGTTAAATATAATACATGTGGTAGTTACAGACAGTCGGTTGTAATATACCAGTAATATAGATAGATGGTAGTTAAATATAATACATGTGGTAGTTACAGACAGGTGGTTGTAATATACGAGTAATATATAGATAGATGGTAGTTATATATAATACATGTGGTAGTTATAGACAGGTGGTTGGAATATACCAGTAATATATAGATAGATGGTCGTTATATATAATACATGTGGTAGTTATAGACAGTCGGATGTAATATACCAGTAATATATAGATAGACGGTAGTTATATACAATACATGTGGTAGTTATAGACAGGTGGTTGGAATATACCAGTAATATATAGATAGACGGTAGTTATATACAATACATGTGGTAGTTATAGACAGGTGGTTGGAATATACCAGTAATATATAGATAGACGGTAGTTATATACAATACATGTGGTAGTTATAGACAGGTGGTAGTTACTGACAGTCGGTTGTAATATACCAGTAATATAGAGATAGATGGTAGTTATATACAATACATGTGGTAGTTATAGACAGGTGGTTGTAATATACCAGTAATATAGAGATAGATGGTAGTTATATACAATACATGTGGTAGTTACAGACAGGTGGTTGTAATATACCAGTAATATAGAGATAGATGGTAGTTATATACAATACATGTGGTAGTTATAGACAGGTGGTAGTTACTGACAGTCGGTTGTAATATACCAGTAATATAGAGATAGATGGTAGTTATATACAATACATGTGGTAGTTATAGACAGGTGGTTGGAATATACCAGTAATATATAGATAGATGGTCGTTATATATAATACATGTGGTAGTTATAGACAGTCGGTTGGAATATACCAGTAATATAGATAGATGGCAGTTAAATATAATACATGTGGTAGTTACATACAGGTGGTTGTAATATACGAGTAATATATATATAGATGGTAGTTATATATAATACATGTGGTAGACAGGTGGTTGTAATATACCAGTAATATAGACAGATGGTAGTTAAATATAATACATGCGGTAGTTACAGACAGGTGGTTGTAATATACCAGTAATATAGAGTATAGATAGATGGTAGTTATATATAATACATGTGGTAGTTACAGACAGTCGGTCATTGTTGTTGCTCTTCACAAGATCTGCAGTTGTCAGTTGCTTAATATTATTCTTTTACTAATTAGGAACCCTAATGGGATCAGCACTGTATTGCATGAACATCCAAATTCCCCTTGTCCTTATATTTACTTATATTATCTCATATAAGCTAAGGACAGTTGTAAAAGGACAAGGTATGGGTTCTTAATTAGTCAAATAGGCATATTGTTGCAAGCATTGCTCCAGGGAACCTAAGTAAAACTGAGTTCTCGTGTACTGACTGTACTTAAGAGTCTTTAGCCCAAACTAATGAAGCCAATAATATAATACTCACAGCAAAGATTATATTCAACAAATGAATGGTCCAGGAAGTCCAAGGAATGACGAGTAATCAATATAGAGGCCCATTTAGTCAGCTTGCAGTCTCCACAGTCCACGAAATAATACACACCTCCATCATGGCCAGTAGACAACCCCCTAAAAAGAATAGCAAAGGAAGAGACTTTATGAGCAGAGCTAATCTGTGTATGAACACCCTAACATAATTAACAACCGAAGACTGGACCTTTAACAGTCGCGATAACGTGATTAGTGAATTTAGGCTAAAACAGACTGATTAAACCAGCACATGGCTAATTAAAAATTAACTTTCCGTTCTCATGTTGTCTAGAACAGATAAAGCCTTAGGAAACATGTGTGAAGTATGCAGACTTACATGTACATTGTACTATAAATGTTTAAACACGGTAAATGTACTTAAATCACGTGAAACATATGTACATCACCGCAAATAATGATGGACATGTATATATAAAACAGTATAAAATTATAAAACTTAATTAAACCATTACGACTGACTTACAATTGATTTATTATAAAATTGTAGGATACATTATTTTGTTCACATTAATAAACATTTTAATAACAAATTAAAATCAGAGATTTTGTGCCTTAATTAATATAAGCTTACTTCTCATGCCTATAAAATTATACTGCATACATTGATTTAATGTGAAAGACTACAACATTTTATTTTTTCCCTCTGCTTTTTCTTTATTTGTTATGACACCTGATTGGTCGATTTGAAAGTCAACAACTATGGATTGGTCAATTTGAAAGTCAACAAAAAGATAGCTATCTATAAGCTAATAGTTGACTTGCTATTTTCATAACCCCCTTCAAATTATAAAAACTTTCTTCAGATATACAAGAATTTTTAAATAAAACAGGTAGACTTCCCCTTTTTGTCATTAAAAATGAGTCCTGTAACAACTACAAATAGCACATTACACAGGAATTTCTATTTTTGTCATAACCATCAATGTTCAATCCGAGTGTTGCTTCTGTGTGATGAAGTCAAAAATTATGCATTTAATATACCGGTTTATTGTGCATGTGGAACTCTTCAGTATGTTTATAAGTATTAGGTAGCATACATATCGTACACCCTTAAATACTAAGTATTGTGGAACTCTTCAGTATGTTTATAAGTATTAGGTAGCATCTTACTGTACGCCCTTAAATACTAAGTATTGTGGAACTCTTCAGTATGTTTATAAGTATTAGGTAGCATACATATCTTACACCCTTAAATACTAAGTATTGTGGAACTCTTCAGAATGTTTATAAGTATTAGGTAGCATACATACTGTACGCCATTAAATACTAAGTATTGTGGAACTCTTCAGAATGTTTATAAGTATTAGGTAGCATACATATCTTACACCCTTAAATACTAAGTATTGTGGAACTCTTCAGTATGTTTATAAGCATTAGGTAGCATACATATCGTACACCCTTAAATACTAAGTCTGCAGTAACCTGATATGCATAATCTTTGTTTTCCTACTCAAGTTTATCTACTGATCAAGTTTAGTAAATATAAGCTGCCCATAGTGACAGCATGCATACATGTATGTGACATTTGGTGAAGAGGGTATTAATATCTATATGAACTGCATCCCCAGTCAATTTGAAAAATATCCTTAAACCGGTTAAATTTAGATACTATATAACTTCTGTCCATGTTGGTAGATATGAACACTACACATCCAGTAGGATATATCATTGGAAGTGAAAAAGTTATCAAATGAATGTGTAATTTTATGACACTAAAACAGATTGGTATGTAAAGTTAACTCATTCACCCCTGAAAACACATTTGAAATCTTCCAATTCACAGGTTGGAATATAGGTCATTATGAAATTTCAGGGGTGAATGAATTAATTTTTGACAATCTGTGTTTGTCATCATTTACAATATCTAATCAATGCGGTAAGTGAATTGCAGGAAAGGAAATCAAGTTGAAACTGGCTCCGGAATATTTTTTTATGTATACCTATCCACAGGAGCCCCTAATTTATACAGATGGGGGAAAGGGGACGGGTGTTATCTTCTTTATGTTTATTCATTTTACAAACAAAATTTCATCCTCTTGTGAACAGTTCTTCAAGTTGTCAGATCTTGTCGGTTTTCTCATGTTTATCAAGTTGGAGGGGTGG